GTGTAAGAACCCACTTTCTTTCATATATTAATAGTCAAAGCATCTCAAGAATTGACTATATATGGACATTAACGGAACTCTCTATCAATATACTAGATTGTTATATCATTCTAATAAATACAGATATATCTAATCACCTACCAGTTATGATAAAGTGTGCTAACTTCTTAGATATCAAATTCAACAAACGGAAAATAAAGGCGAAACTTAGTTTTGACTTCAACAAAATGGATAATCATAAATGGAACAAATTTGAAAACAAATTGGATGCACTATTAAATGGCTGCTTACTGAAAACCGTTAACGTCAACACTTTCTAGACGCAATCGTTGCTCAGCAAACAATGGGATCAGTTCCAAGATTTACTGATTAAAGCAGCTGAATCAACCATTCCTATTCAAAAATCAACGGAATAATTTAAATACCCAAGACCTCCCAGTTTGTCTAAACTTTATGTACAATAAAAAGAATTCCACAAATTTAACAAGTTGCTGCGCTCAATCAAAAATGGGGCTTCTTTTCTGGTCTCTTGGCCCCGTTCATATCATATATACATCAATAATGCAAATGCACTGAATTTTGTCACCGCGCATTCCACTCCAGACTATCCATTCAATTTCATTGATCTTTTGCTCTCCGATACTAATTTACTAATTAATATAGTCCATTGTAAAGCTAAATTATACGAGAAAGAACACAAACTTCAATCAATTCAACAAGCACTCAATAAACGACTTGAAAATTATGCTATACAAACTGGAAAAATGTTAGACTCTACCTTAAATCGATCAAGAAGAACCATAATACTAGACCGCTGTCTATCAAGAAATTCCAAAGATTTGCTCACAGATGAAAGTGAAGTTAAACTCAATGTAAACGAACATTTTCAGAAGGCAGCTGGCACCACCCATGAAAACAAAGAGATACCAGAGGTATGGAGCTCGATTTATAATCCAATCTCTAATATTGACCCTAATATATATAGGTCCTTAATGTCACCCCCTACGGCAGATGAATAGTACAACGTCATAAATTCCTTAGCTGATGGTAAAGCACCAGGTCCCTTAAAAATCCACAATGAAATGTTAAAACACCTCAGTCTGCTTGCCAAAAAACTTCTTTAGCACATTATCTGTGGCTGCTTAAAAATCTCATCGCTACCGAATAGGTGGAATTTAGCATACATATATCTGATCCCCAAATCTAAACTGTGGGAATATGATCTAAACAATACTCGACCTATTACACTCCTAGAATATCCAAGGAAAGCCCTAATCAAATTAATCAATAGACGTCTGTCAACAATTTTTGTTCAACATAGCATATTAAAAGGACACAACTTCGCAGGTTTACCATTTCGGTTGACTTTCGAACCATTGCATATTTTCGATAATATCAAACATAATACGCTTGCTAACAAAAAGGAGCTGTGGATCCTATTGCAAGACATGTCCAAAACCTACGATCAGATTAATGTTTTTATGTTATTTAGAGCCCTGGAAAGACTCTGACTACCTAAAGAATTCATATTTTTTATTCTCAATATGTTTGTCCCTTGGGAGAATCAAGTTTTCACAGCCTTCGGTAATACAGATACATATAAAGTTTTTTCGGGTATCGATCAAGGAGAAATTATCTCCCCTCTCCTATGGTGTATTTATTACGATCCACTCTTATGTAAGGTACAATCCTCAGACTTAGGATATAACATGTCAGTCAGGTGGAAACCAGATGTACAAACAGAATCTTATAACAACCTCCAATGTAAAACATCAGTTTTGGCATATATGAACGACACACTTTAGATCGCTCAATCAAAGTACGATCTGATAAATATCATCAACATAGCAAATAGTTTTTACGAACTAAACAGCATACAAGTTAACTGGGCTAAATCAGACCTTTTGACAAACCTGTCAGACACTCAAACAATTACCACTAATGTACGTGATAACGAACACGTAATAATTTCAGTTAAACCAAAAATCTCAGTGCGATACCTCGGTGTTTGGATTTCATTGCAATGCAATAAGATGTTCACCATCAACCAAGCCTTTCAAGATGTGAAATCCGCTATTACAATACTAACTAATAAAAGGCTAACGGACAAACAGCTTATCTATACATATAATGTAGTCATAATCCCACGTGTTGAATATCGTATACAACTCGTGCACCTTTCTGAAAATACTTCAGACTGCATCATTAGACCGTTCAGATCCTTTCTCAAGAAGAAACTCCATCTCCCAAGAGACACCCCATCATGTTTGTTTTACTCCAAACTGTTCTATGGTATCATTCATTTACACTATAAACACACACAGGCTCTCAGCGATGCACTTCTATATGCAGTAAACAATAATGATCTACTAAGCTGAACCACCCATATACGACTCCAACAAATACAACTACAGGAATGACTACTATCGTCTCCATTAAGAGATTGGCCCTTTAACAACCCGAAACACTTCAGAGATTGGATTCTGGGTCTCTTATGTGACCTAAAAAAACTCAGTTTAAAGATAGTTCTACCTGAATACGTCTATAAACGTATACTAGGTGGTTCTACCTCGATACAGTCTATTATACCAAACAGCTACAGAAAATTTTCATCAGTTTTAGCCAAAATGTCCATTTTATTTGTGGAGCAAATCTTAATAAAAGATTGCAAATACATGCTCAGTATGAACGACCTACGATCTTTCCCTACAATACCAAACAGAGGTAGAGTCCCAACCTGGTATCCAGCTATAAAAAAAGCACTGAGAATAAATGTGAATCAACAATTACCTCCTGACATTACAATAGTGCAAAAACACAGTCATAACTTCTCATATATGCATAACAATATAAATACCAACAAATTTTCTTATGTTACCTTGTGGCATCAAACAATTGAAAACTTAATATTTGGACAGATTTTAAAAACATCAGGAAGCTTTGCAGATATCATACATTGCACTTATCAAATAGTCAACAACAAGATTACACTACAACGTTGCCAGGGCTGTTCGTATCATAACCCTACATTGTTCAAAAAGAATTCATTGGAACTCAGACGATACAACTGTGTTTTCATAGTCCTCATAGGGATTTGTGTAAATGTTTTGATGTACTACAGGAATAAGAACCACACTTGCTTTTGGTCACTTCTGTTTATAAGAGATATGGCAAGTCACAAATATAATTATGTCAATAGTTCATCAACTAACAGGCTATTAATAAACTATCAATGTCCGACTCCCTCATCCTTGATTTACCATTAAGTCTCAAGTTCGCATTTTCATAATCTACTAACACTTTTATAACAATTCGAGTTAGCCCAAGAATTAACGTTTTATACAGATGGTTCTCTCACAGGTTTGGGTACTCCTACAATTAGAATGGGACTGGTTTGGTTACAGACAAACTTAAATTTCCCAATGGTCTCTTACTCTTCAGCTTTTGCTACTTCGTTCCCATCTTCATCATCGGCGGAGTTGGGAGCAATTTTCATAGCTATCCTTATGGCACCTAAATATTGTCGTGTCAACATTCACACAGATTCACAGGCTGTTATAAAGCAATATAATAAATTCAAAAACATTCGTGGCTTCTCTCCGTCCATTCGACCTCTACTAAAAATTACAAATTACCCACTTTAGTTTAGCCTCTTCGAAGTAATGGACAAATAATGTTTAACTATTGTTCTACATAAAATCAAAGCACACTTGGGCGACTTTTACAATGAGAAAGTAGATCAATTGGCAAAGCAGTGTTACGATTTCTCTGCTCTACTGTTCAACCTCAACTACCTAAAATAACATCACATCAGCTACAATAGAATGTGTATCACAGTTCCTATACGACCATTCATACAAGATATAACACAATCCATAACGTATAACAACTTCCAACATCTTTTTGTCATTAACAAACACATCCACCTCAACATACACTGGCTGGTTACTGCCTTTTATTTAAATGACAATATTGCAACTGCCTGTTTTTCGTACAAAGCTTCAGCTGTTAAGAAAAAGAAATTACAAAGATTAATAGAATTACTTCCAACCATAGAAGTTTTAAAAGTAAGACATCTGAACGTCTTTAACTAAAACTGGCTGTGCGTTAAATGCGAAAGTGATGATGAAACCTTCAACCACATTTGGGAATGTCCTACGTCATGGACCTTAATAAGATCTATTGTCCACAACTCCCAACTCTTCCTCCAAGACTTAATCAAGGATGACAATATCTTTGCAGAAATACAATTACTACTGATATGGCATATAACGGTCAATTACACATCATATCTTATTGCTCTCATTAAAGCTTAATACCTCGTTCATTGTACAATCTCGTCTTAGTAGCCATGAGAATAAAAGACCTTGCGTTAGCAACGCTTTCGGCCTTTATACACTTCATCTTTGAACAAACTCAAGAAATCTGGACTGATCAATGTGCTCGTCAGATTAACTTTGAAAAATCAAATAATATTGATTCCACTACTAAAAAAGACAATACTTCTGCAACAGGATACGGAAATATGCACAGACCTCTATATCATCGATACATAACGCCATTGATAAGATGGTCCGCCTCAGATCCTACTAGACAAATTTTTAGTGCCGTAGTGGCCAAGCCCTTTCTCATTGGTATGATTACTAGAAAGTAATAGTTTTAGCTTAGGTTAGAATTAGATTCTGGAAAAGTGCAGGGTCGGTCTTAATTTAGTTTCTAAATAGAGATTTTTGTATTTTCTTAAATTTGTATATTTTTCTTTTATTTGTATCTATATATTTTGAATTTAATAAAGATAATGCGAAACTACCGCACTTAAAAAAAAAAAAAAAAAAAAAAAAATTGTTTTTTAAACAAACTCTTCTGCTACCATGCCAAGACCAAAGAAAGAGAACAATAAAAACTAATAAAAACAACAACCTCGCTCTTGCCCTGGCATTCCAGAGCAACAACCAAAGAAAAAACAAAATACCTTACAAATTGTTGAACCAGAAAGCAGTATGTCCACTAACAATAACAATTACGAAATTCCACTTATAAATGTCGACCCCCTTTCGCTCGATAAAGGAAAGGGCAAAGAAGTGTTACAAAGTGAAACAACCTTAGTTGTCACTACAAAACAAAGTGAAATGAACGTCGACAACGCAAACGACGCCTCTGAAATTTCTTGAACAACAAAAAGAACCTTCAAGATATTTCTACGAAAAAGACGAAATTTTTCGCTTTCTTTCCAACAGACAACTACCTCAGAAAATCCTCTCAAACGAAAGTTTCTGACGTCACAGACCTCGTGTTCGATAGATTTGATTCTTTCTCTAGTGTCGCCCTAGCCAAACATCCAGAAGACCAATCAAAAAGTATATTCAAGGTGACATTTTCTGATAAAGACGAAAGGGATGCGTTCTGTAAGGTCATGTTACCTAATTTAGAAAATTGCACGTTTTTGCCTCTCGACATTATACCCAAACATCTGTTCATACCATAACAATCCATCAAAGTTTCAGAGATTCCATTGGACGCAACAAAAATTAGAATTAAGAAAGTCTTTTCCTGATTTGAAAAGATCATCAGATTCACAATGGAAACAAAGAACTTATAGCAACAAGCCACAATTACATATGATAACGATGCCAATTTTACAGAACTTCAAAAAGGGCATGAAGTCTTCATCCTCAATGATATGGTGCGATTCCATATGTGTGACTTATCGAGAGACCAAATACTAGAATGATCAAAGTTTTCAGCTGAGCTCATGTGCCTTTCATGTTACACTACAGGTAAAGATTTATCCGACCTCAGATTAATAACCAATGTGACAACCTGGATTATTCTGAAGACCAGATCTAACTACAACAATCTACAATATGCCTTCTTTTACTTCGCATCAGTGGAAGACCACAAAGCGGCAATCAGCAACAACAACCTTACGATCAATGGTAAACATGTAGAATGGACAAGTAACAAAACGCCATTATGCGCCATCTGTTCTTCTCCCATCACAAAATAAAAGACTGTCTAAAAAAAAGAAGAACACCTAACGACAGAAATACACAAAACCTGTACCAACGATTCCAACCTGCTCAATATAACAACTATAAGGCTCCGTCCTGTTCCAGGCGAGAAGCGATCAATCTGAATGTGACTTTTGCCAGAATAATCAAAGGAAGACAAGAAGAAAAACTTACACCCTAATGAAGCCTAAATTTGGTATCTCCAACAATGAAGATAGATCCTTTGCGTTAAGAGGTCCAAATAATACACCAGTCCCTTCCTGGGTCAATGACATCCCACTCGATATGAATATCATCGATAATACACTTACTCTAATGGAATCACGTGATATAGCCGCTGGCACAAAAACTGGAGGCTCCATACATGAGAAATCTAATGAAGAAACTGATTTCAAAGCATTTATTAAGGACAGTTTCCTACAGTTAACTCAGAAACTCGAAGATTTTACAATCACCATGGGTTCTGTTATAAAAAGAATGGATACCATTGAAAGCACCCTCAATATTAAGGTCATAGCTTCAGATGAAAACATGAATGATTCAGACATGGTATATGGCTATGACACCCCGGCTATTGATACATCCAATTCGGTCATCAACAAACAATGACGCATTATTGATGCCCTTAAGGAGCTTAATGATGCTCAAAATCTACGGTTAAAGTATTTCACTGAAACGGTAAATGGCTTGGTTAACTCGTGTAATGCCTTCCATATGATTCTCGTCCAAAATAACTTATTACCAACAGGAAAAACAGCAGAAATATTGACCTCAACACTAATTACGACATAATTGCAGATAAGGCTCTAAAGAGCCTTCCTCAATTCTAAAATAAATAATCATGATTACTGTCTCTACAGATATCAATAATTTTCCAACATCTTCAAACATTGATTACCACACCCTTCCAATAGCTATTCCAAATCTTACCTTTGCTACCCATAATGTCAGATCATTCACAAACATTGCAAAACAACATTTCCTCCTTTCTTTGTATTCTGCATATAACATAGATATTATCGGTCTCCAAGAAACAAATTTTAAACAAACACAAGCAAAGAATTTTAATCCAACTCATTTTTTTCACATCATTTTTCAGTTCAACACCGAAACAAAGAACGGATTTCAGAGTTAGATTTATTTTAAAGAAAGACATCGCTCATCATGTTTTTAAACATGATATAAAACTAGATCAATTGATTTACGTGAACTTACAATTCACTAATAAGCAAAAACTACGTGTCATTAATTATTATTTACCACCTGCAGATTTGAAAACCAGACAGGAAGTACAACATATACTTATAAGATGTGTCAAAGAAGCTTCATCCTTAAACTATCATGTGGCCATGCTAGGAGATTTCAATGCTAACATAGACCGCAAACACAACCCAACAAATGCACTCAAATATTTTGACTCATTGCTCAGAATGTCAATATTTGATTCCTTCACCCTCAAATATGATTGTGCAAGAACCAGCTTTCCTTCGTATACTAACAGTCAAAGTACTTCGAGAATAGACTACATATGGACATCAACTGAAATTTCTGTCAACATACTGGATTGCTATACCATTCCATTAACTTAAGATATATCAGACCACCTGCCAGTCGTAACAAAATGTGCTAACTTTTTAGATATCAGATTCAACAAAAGAAAAATACAGGCGAAACTAAGTTTTGACTTCAACAAAATAGATGACCATAAATGGAACAAATTTGGAACTAAATTTGATGCATTCTTAAATGGCTGTTCACTGAAAACCATGAACGTTAACACTTTTTGGACACAAATATTGCTCAACAAACAGTGGGATCAGTTCCAAGACCTACTGATAAAAGCTGCTGAATCGACGATTCCCATCTGAAAATCAACAAGACAATTTAAATATCCAAGACCCCCTAGATTATCTAAACTTTATATACAACAAAAAAAACTTCACAAATTCAACAAGTTGTTACGATCAATCAAAAATGGAACACCTTTTCCGATTTTCTGATCTCATTGTTACGATACCTACATCAATATTGCATACTCACTGAATTTAGTCACAGTTCACCTCACTCCAAATTATCCATTCAATTTTATTGACCTTCTGCTCTCAGATACTAATTTATTAATCAATATAGTTCATTGTAAAGCAAAACTACACAAGAAGGAATATAAATTTAGTTCAATCCAGAAAGCACTCAATCAACGCCTTGAAAACTATGCTGAAAAACCTGGTAAAATGTTAAACTCCATTCTAAATCGTTCAAGAAGAACCATAGTGCTTGACCGATGCTTATTAAGAGACTCCAAGGATTTGATTACAAATGAAAGTGCTGTCAAACTTAACGTAAACGCACATTTCTAGAAGGTGGCTGGCACCACCCATAAAGAAAAAATAATTCCAGAGGAATGGAGCTCTATTTATAATCCAATCTCCAATATTGACTCTACTATATATAGGTCCTTAATGTCATCTCCTACAGCAGAGGAATGGTACAAAGTTATACAATTGTTAGCTGACGGAAAAGCACCAGGTCTCTCAAAGATACACAACGAAATGTTAAAACTCCTCGGTCCGCTTGCTAAAAAAATTTTTGGCATATTATTTGTGGTTGCTTAAAGATCTTATCGATACCGAATAGGTAGAACTTGGCATACATATATCTGATTCCCAAATCCAAACCATGGGAATATGACCTGAATAATATCCAGTCTATTACACTCCTGAAATGCCTAAGGAAAGCTCTAATCAAACTAATCAACAGATGTCTTTCAACAATCTTCGTTCAACACAATATATTAAAAGGACACAACTTCGCAGGTCTACCATTTCAGTTGACTTTCTAACTATTACACATATTCGATAATATCAAATATGACGCACTTACCAATAAAAAAGAGCTGTAGATCTTATTACAAGATATGTCCAAGGCTTACGATCAGGTTAATGTTTTTATGTTAGTCAGAGCCTTGGAAAGACTCAAATTACCTAAAGGATTCATATATTTCATCCTCAACATGTTTATTCTCCGGGAGAATCAAGTTTTCACAGCCTTCGGTAATACAGATACATATAAAGTTTTCTCAGGTATTGATCAAGGAGAAATTATTTCTCTTCTCTTATGGTATATCTATTACGATCCACTCTTATATAAGGTACAATCTTCAGACCTAGGATATAACATGTCAGTCAGGTGGAAACCAGATGTACGAACTGAATCTTATGACAACCTCCAATGTAAAACTTTAGTCTTGGCATATATGGATGACACACTTTAGATTGCTCAATCAAAGGAAGATCTAAGTAACATAATTGACATAGCGAACAGCTTTTATGAATTGAACAGTATACAAGTTAATTGGGCCAAATCGGATCTTTTGATAAACTTGTCAGACACTCAAACAATTACCACTAATATGCGTGGTAATGATCATATAATAACTTTAGTTAACCCAAAAAACTCAGTGTGATACCTCAGTGTCTGGATTTCACTGCAATGCAATAAGATGTTCACCGTTAATCAGGCTGTTCAAGACATGAAAGCCGCTATAACAATATTAACTAATAAAAAACTAACAGACAAACAGCTCATTTATACATATAATGTAATCATAATCCCACAAGTCGAATACCATATACAACTCGTGCACCTTTCTGAAAACGCCTTAGACCGTATTGTTAGACCTTTCAGATCCTTCCTTAAGAAGAAACTCCATCTTACAAGAGACACCCCATCATGTCTATTTTACTCCAAACTCTTTTATGGTATCATTCATTTACACCATAAATATACACAGGCTCTTAGCAACGCACTACTATATGCAGTAAATGATAATGGTCTACTAGGCCAAACCACCCACATATGACTCCAGCAAATACAACTACAGGAATGGCTACCATCATCCCCATTAAAAGATTGGCCCTTTAATAACCCGAAACACTTCAAAGATTGGATCCTGGGCCTTTTATGTGACCTAAAAAAACTCAATATCAAGATAGTTTCACTCAGACAAGTCCATAGACGTATACTAGGTGGTTTTACCTCGATACAGTCAATTATACCAAACAACTACAGGAAATTTTCATCTGTTTTAGCCAAAATGTCCATTTTATTTGTGAA